AAAATAATTTGGGTATGTGGATGTGGGCATGCATGAACCTCTTTAAGTTTGTGTTTGAAGGTCAGAGGATAACCCTGGATGTCGATCCTCACCTTCCACCTTGTTTGAGACAGGATTCCTCTTGTGTACCACTGCGTACACTAAGTTAGCTGGTCTGGAAGCTTCTGGTGAGTACCCAGTGTCCACTTCCTATATCCCAGTAGGGGCTCATTGGGGTGACAGGTGCTTGAGCTACTTTGTCCGGCTTTAGAGGATTTGGGGGACCACACTTGACTTGTCAGGCTTATCTGGCCATGACTACCCACTGAGCCATCTCCCTGGTTCACAATAAAATAGTTTGTGAGGGGAATGCATAGTGTCCTTTAAGCAGGCCATTAAATGAGAGAGATGTCTGAAGAATTTCCACAGTGACAGGAAAGGAAAGGACGGTGTGATACCAGACAGTATCCATGAAGAATCAAGAATGAGAAGATCCAGGAAGGCGGGAAAGAGCTAAACAAACTCAGATTGACATATTAAGAAGATACGATGTTTCTATCAGAATTGTGTATGAAAATACATAATTCTCAGTAGGGATATTCCATATGTAGTCAATAATCTACTATAATTAGGATAATTGATCCTATAAGATTAAATCTAGTAACACCATGTCTATCTTAGTTTATGGGAGGACACTGTATGACCCTCATATGAGATCACCTAAGACATCTCAGATCATATCCCCATCATTAAGCAGTATGTTCTTTCCACATATATATATTCTACATACAGAGGCAATTTTTCAAGCCATTTGTCTTAGTTAGGGTTTCTTTTCTTCCTTCCTTCCTTCCTTTCTTCTTTCCTTCCTTCCTTCCTTCCTTCCATTCTTTCTTTTTTCCTTCCTTCCTTTCTTTCTTTTTTTCTTTCTTTCTTTTTGGTTTTTTGAGACTGACTTTGTCTGTGTAACACCCCTGCTGTCCTGGAACTCGCTCTGTAGACCAGGCTGGCCTTGAATTCACAGAGATCTATGTTTTATCACAGCTACAGAAACTCTAACTAGCCAGTCATGGTGGCACACGCCATTAATCCCAGCACAGGAGGCAGAGGCAGATAGATCTCTGTGAGTTCGAGGCCAGCCTGATGTACAGAGCGAGTTCCAGGACAGCCAGAGCTGTTACACAGAGAAACCCTGTATTGAAATAAACAAACAAACAAACAAATAAATAAATAAATAAATAAATAACATCATGACTGTGGTGGTGTGAAAGAAAATGGCCCCCAAAGGGAATGGCACCATTAGCAGGTGTGACTATGTTGCAGTGAATATGGTCTTGTTGAAAGAAGTGTGTCACTGTGGAGGCAGGCTTTGAGGGTTTATATATGCTCAAGCCACACTCAGTGAGACAGTCTACTTCCGGTTGCCTGCAGTGTATCAACACGCAGGCAGCTCCTTCTCCAGCACCATGTCTGCCTGTACTGTCATGCTAATGGACTGAACCTCTGAAACTCTAAGCTGCCACCTCAATTAAATGTTTTCCTTTTAAGAGTTTTCCTGCTCAGGGTGTCTCTTCACAGCAACCGAACACTGACCAAGACAGTGATGAAAAGCAACTTGGGGAGGAAGGGCTTTTACTTCATCTTACACTGCAGATGACAGTCCTTCACTGAGGGAAGTCAGGGCAGGAACTGAAGCAGAGGCCGTGAAGGAATGCTGCTCTCCGGCCTGCTCAGTTTGCTTCCTTATTTTTCTTTTCTTGTCTTTACATCCTAACCAAAGCTTCCTCTCCCTCCCTTCTTCCCAGTCCCCCTCATCTCCCCTCTCCTCTTCCCCACCCCATCCACTTTTCCTCCACTGTTTCTCTTCAGATACAGGCAGGCATCCCATGGATATCAGCCAGCCATGGTGTGTCAAGCTGCAGTGAGACCAGGTACCACCTCCTCCACCAAGGCTGGATGAGGCAATCTGGAAGGAGGAATGGATCCCAAAAGCTGGCAACACAGTCAGAGACACACCCACCACCCACCACCCACTCTCACTGCTAGGAGTCCCACACAAAGATCAAGTTACACAACCCTAACATATATGCAGAGGGCCTAGGTCCGCCCCATGCAGGCTCCCTGGTTGTCGGTTCAGTCTTTGTGAGCCCCTATGAGCCCAGGTTAGTTGGTTCTGTGGATTTTCTTGTGGTACCCTTGACACCACTGGGTCCTACAATACTTCCTCCCCTTCACTTTGCCTTCTTATACCATCCAGGACCACCAACTCAGGGGTGGCCCCACCCACAGTGGTCTGGGCCCTCCTACATCAACCTCTAATCAAGATAATATCCACAGACTTCCCTGTAGGCCAAGCATATGGAGGCATTTTATCAATTAAAATTCCCCCTTTTTAGATATGCGTAGGTTTGTATCCAGTTGACAAAAAAACAACCAGCACACCAGCATATGAGGCAATGGTGGATTAAGTTTGGAAAAAAGCAGAAATGTGTGTCTGGATATAAAAGTGAAAGGAGAAAACCAACTCCCCCAAAAGGTGCCTTCTGACCTCTAATTGTAAGGCTGGTTTGATGACTCAGCAGTTCAGAGTAGAGGACCCAGGTTTGGTTCCCATGCTGCACTCACGTCGGGGAGCTTGCAACCACCGCTAGCTCCAGTTTCAGGGGATCAGACAACCCCTTCCGGCCCCTCAGGTACCTGCATGCATGTAGTGCATATACACTCGGGCACACAGAGACATAAAATACTGTTGCTGTTTTTGTTTTTGTTTTTGTTTTTTTCAAAGAAAATGGAACCTGTGTTGACATGGAAAGATATTCATGAGCAAAAGAAGAAATACATTCCTGAGAAGTGAGTGGCTGAGCAATGTGTGCAGCATGATTCAGTTTTATATGCAGATGTGTCCACTAAGGCACAGTCCAAAGTCAGGAGGTGTTGTCACTGTGAAATCAACAGCACGTACCTCTAGATTTATACGTGAAGATGGGAGTGTGGGGGAGGGGGGAAAGCTTTCGCTTTCTATTTAATGGTCTTCTTTCCGTGTGCTGAAATTCTTGTATACAGTCTGTACAATCGATACCATTGTGGGTGGCTGCCTTTTTTTTTTTTTTTTTTTTTTGACAGCTCTGGGAATGAGGGGAGGAGCTTGGCTGAGCAGCAGTGGTGAAAGAGGCAGGACTCTGGCCACTGTCCTGATTTGCTCTGTACACTCAGGCCAGCTGCCTCCCCTGTCTGGACCAGGGCCAGACACGTGCTAGTGTGTGTGCTGGAAACGGTGGTGAGTTGAGGCCATGAAGAGCTCTGGAGGGCACGGGAGCAGTAGTTTTTAAGGCACTGGGCTTGACCATTGGCTTGTTGACATTTTTAACAAAGAGTCAACGATAAAGAGCTTTGGGAGCAGCTCAGGTAGAGTGTTTGCCTGGCGTATGCAGGGTGCTGGATTTGGTCCCCAGCACTACATAAGTTCTGGGCATAATGGCACTGGCCTGTAATCTCAGCACTTGGGAGGTGGAGCAGGAGAATCAGAAGTTCAAAGTTGGTCTCAGTTATACACGGAGTTCCAGGCTAGCCTGGGACACACGAGACACTATTTTAAGCAGAATGAACCTCAAACTCTAAGGTGCAGAGAAGTCGTAAGGACGATCTTGTCCCACCTGTCCAGTTGCCTGACCCTGACCTCTGCCTGAGTCAGAATGCTTGGTCTGGCACCTTCAGAGCATGCGGTTGGTTCCCATGAGCTAGGACCAGCTGAGCCCTGGTACCTAACCCTCAGATTTCCCAGTTCAGAGCAGGATGCAAGTCTTCTTCACCCAACTGTCATTCTTCTAAAATGATGCCAGGTTGGTGAACCCGGGGTGGTTAGGCACTAGCTAAATACAAGAGAGTTCCAGAGGGTCTATCCATGTAGCAGGACACAGCAGGAATAAGCTGCCCATCCCTGGAAGCTATCAAAAAAGGGCAGGATGCAGGGGCAGACAGCCCTCGCTAAGGAAAAGGTGGGCCAGAGTTGGGTGAAATAGGATTTTTATTGTCCATTCTCTGTGGTGATATATTGCGTACCCTAATAAAATCTGCCTGAAGATCAGAGAACAGAACAAGCCACTAGATTAAACATAGAAGCCAGGCAGTGGTGGTACACACCTTTAATCCTAGCACTTGGGAGGCAGAGATCTGTCTGGATCTCTGTGAGTTCAAAGCCACGCTGGACTACACAAGATTGACTCAGTCTAGGAGAGAAACCGAGCCAGGCAGTAGCAGCACACACCTTTAGTCCTAGTACTTGGGAATCACACGCCTTTAATCCCAGCACTAGGAAGGAAGTGATAGCTGGGCGGAGAAAGGTATATAAGGCCTGAGGAGACAGGCACTGAGGCTCTTCAGGCTGAGGAGTCCTAGAGGTAAGACGTGGCAGTGGTTTGTTCCTTTGTCTCTCTGATCTTTCAGCATTTACCAATATCTGGTTCTGGGTTTTTTATTAAAATCTATTTAAGATTCAAGCAACATTTGGTGCCCAACGTGGGGCATGAACCCACAACCCTGGGATTAAGAGTCCCATGCTCTACTGACTGAGTTAGCTGGGCTGAGTTAGTCTTATAGTTTTTGCTATTATGACCTTTAGAAATTGGAGCAACAATTCTCCCAGTTCCAGGAGAAGGAGGAAATGATTTAGATGATGACAAGTGGGAAGGCTAAGTGGACAAGCCTAACTTTCACTGGACTGTGGGAAGGGGGTGATTTGAGAATGAAAGTGTGACAGTGTCAGAAGGGACTTGGGAGAACCTTCATGGAGGCTCCGGAATTCGCATAAGGCTCTGGGAGCCGAAGTCGCTTGCCCAAGGTCACACAGCTTAAGTTGTAGTTTTTTAACAGTTCAGAGGGTCGCAAGGGCACAGTTGTCCAGAAGCCAGTGGTGCAGCAACCAAGGTGATTCAGTCCAGCAGTTAATTAGTAACTGGAAGGTCCTGAAGCCGACTCCCAGCTGACAGGGCTGGGAGGTTGAGCTTGAGCTGGTTTGAGAGACAGGCGAGCGAGCGAGCGAGCGGGTGACAGGTCACTCCTGCTTGGGAAGGTTGCTGGGTGAGTCAGGATTGGGTACACGGAGGAAGCACAGTGCTCCAGGACCTGCGCTGGGACCCAGGGTTTCGAGGTGAGGGGCTCCCCTGTGAGCAGAGGACCTGCCTTGCTGCCAGCTTAACGCAGCATCTTCTGTATTCCAGCTGACTGCCTAGGCTAGAGGGCCTCCTAACTATCTGTCCATTTTCTATCTTTTTCATGTCCTTCTCCCCCCTCCAACTTTATCCCCCTTCCTCCCTTTCCTCTACCAACTTTTCTTACTCCCTAACTCCCTTCCCCTTTCCCTACCTTCCCATCCACCTGACTCCTTCATTTCTTCTTCTCTGCCTAATTTCTTCTTTCTTCAATAACCAGCTAATATATTCACTTCGTCCCCAGTTTCATTCTTTCCATTTCTAGCTGTCTAATCTCTTCTGGAGATTCTAGGCTGTGGGTTTGGGGGTCAACTTGCCTGGGTTCAAATCCTATTTATATCATTTGCTGACATGGTACCTCACCCAAGTTATTTCTCTTCACCATGCCTCAGTTTCCTCCTCATTTAAACAGGAATAATGGGGCTGGGGGGTTAGCTTAGAGGTGGAGCCCTTGGTTGGCAGTGCTGGATCCAATCTTCATCAACACACACA